ACGTGCGACGCTCCCCCTTCGTGCAGCACCCAGGCGGGAGTTACTGCTTCTCTTCCTGATGGAAATGCCAGCAGCAATGCAAAGAAGGGCCCGCTCAGGCTACTGAGGACCTGCTGCTGCCTCTGCGCCGACTGCATCCGGGTTAACTGCGGCGTCTGGCTTGATGCCCTGCGCGTGCAGCAAGCATCGGACAGCGAATTGTATTTCTTCCAGGCCCATCTGCAGCGGCCCCAAAACGTGGCAGACAAAAGTACGACTGGTTCTGCAGCAGCGGCAACACCAAGCGCTGGTGCAACAGTTCCAGCAACAGCTGAAAATGCCGTTCCAGCAGCAGAAACAAGAAAGAGGAAGACAGGCGTTGACTGTTTTCGAATGGCAAAAGACAGAGCACGAGGCACCAGAGAAGAGGCCTGGGGTCTCCTTGCTGGCTGCTCAGGGCCCTTCAGCTTCCGCCACTGCTTAACAACTATGCAGCGGCCGCCGGAGATGCTGCTGCGAAATGCTCAGGGAAAGTGGGAGCCAGAAGCAGCAGTAGCTGCAGCACATGCTGCTGCTGCTGCTGATGCTTACGCGTCTCAGGCGCAGCATCTGTTCGCTTTGTTTTGCGCCCCTGCAAACCAAGTGAGGCCATACACCCCAGAGGAGCGGCAGACGGCAATTCTCCGCAATGCAGCCGCCGATCTTCAGGCGTACGTACACCCCAAGGTCCAGGTGGCGTCATTCAGTAGGGAGGGGAGAGGCCTCGTCGCAGCAGAAGACCTCAAGAGAGGAGAAGTGCTTCTGCGTGTTCCCACCTCAGCCCTCCTCAACGTGTACACGGCTCTGACGCATCGCACGTTCTCCCCTCTCGCACAACTGCTGCTGGGGCTTCCCCCCGAAAGGCTGCTGCAGCAGGAAGCAGCAGCGCAGCAGCAGCAGCAGCAGGAGCAGCAGCACCATAACCCCCCGAAGCAGCAGAAAAAGCCTGAGGAGCCTACGGAGGTGCAACCTCTTGTTGACAGTGATGTGGTTTTGTGTCTCTTTCTTTTGTTTCTTGCATTCACTAATGGCGAACAGGGGGGCAGGGCCGTGCTGCGCTTCCTGCCTGCTGCCGGGGAGGCAGACGCTTCAGCCACAGCAGCGGCTGTGTGCGCGTCTTCCGCCGGCGATCCAGCAGCAGCAGAAGCAGCAGGAGCAGCAGCAGCAGCAGCAGCTCAAAAGGAGGAACTGCTGCTGATGGACACTGAAGGGGTCGTCGAGTTCCTCGGAGATGCGGCCTTGGCGAGCGCCGTTAGCCGCTCTGAGGCCAAATGCAAGATGATGCAGGAGCAGCTGCTGCCGCTGCTGCTGCAGACCTTCCCTCCTCCTGAAGGAATGCAGCAGGGCGGCGGGGTGATCTCCGCTTGCAGAGCAGCAGCAGCAGCAGCAGCAACAACAACCCCACCACATGTGCTTCTAGAGACTTGTACGCCAACGACGGGTGCGGTGGCAGCAGCAGCAGCAGCAGCAGCAGCAACAGCTCAAGCTGGTGCTGCCTGCGGGGCCCCTGCTGTTTCTGCTTCTTCCGAAGGAACACATCTCCTCAGAGCCTTCTTAGCGCAGCTGAATTACGCAGACTTCCTGTGGGCGCATCTCGTCTTAGAGTCCCGTTCCTTTTCCCTTCCTCTGGGGCCCCTGGGGCCCCTTCAGGAGTTTCAGCCTGCGGGGGTTCCCCTCACCAACCCCCCTGGGTACCGCAGTAAGGCGGCGTCAGTGGCCCCCACCGAGGAACCTTCAGGGGGGCCCTCGCGGGTGCATAAAGGGGAGGAGAGTGAGGGGGATAATGAACAGGAAGAAGAAGAAGAGGCAGAGGAGCGTCGTGTGCCGTTTCTCCTAGAGCTCGTTGAGACGGGTGCAGCAGAAGGTTGCCGTTGTGTGATGCTGCCTGTGGGGTTTAGTGGGGGCCCCCAGGGCGTTGAGGGGCCCCCCGGCTGTGCAGCGGCCCCTGCACATTTTGTGCGTCTTCCTCTTCGTTGTGCTTCTTTTGTTCCTCTGGGGGATTTGTTGAATCATGATTTTCACGCGCAAGTGCTGTCCCCTGTAATTGAGGAAGAAGGCAAAAGCCTCTGCCTCCGCCTGGCCTGCGATGTGCCCGCGGGGGCCCAGGTGTATGTGCACTACGGGCCTCTTCAGTCTTGGCAGTTTCTTGCTTTCTTTGGATTCTGTCCTTCTTCCTTCCCCCGCCTGCAACCCCCGCAGAGAGAAGCACAGAGAGAAACAATAGCTGATAAAACAGACAGAGACGAAGAATGGCAGTTCACAGCGGAAACCAACGGTACGTATATGTATGCAGCTGCTGTGCCTGTTCCTGTTGCTGCTTATGCTGTAACTGCAGCAGCATCTGCTGCTTCTGTTGCTGCTGTTGCTTCGACTAAACGGCCAGGAAGCCGCCGAGTTCCTCAGAAGCAGTTGATTGTTCAGTTGCTTGCTTGCGTTCAGACATTATTTAACTTAGTTTTTTTTC